ATTAGAACTGCAGCTAACAGTCAGCTGAAGTGGCTGCAGTATTGCACTCTAACCACTGCGCCACCTCGGCTCTTACAATTTGTGTCCAGGATGTGAGGGGGTTGTAGATATTTTTACAGCCCTCTTTTTGACTTGTGCAGTGTCCAGGTCCTCAATGGAAGACAGGTTGGTAGCCATTGTTTTTTCTGCAGTTCTAATTAGCCCTTAAAGTTTGTGTCTGTCTTGTTGGGTTGTAGAACCAAACCAGACAATTATAGAGGTGCAGATGACAGACTTATAATTCCTCTGTAGAACTGAATCAGCAGCTCTTTGGGCAGTTTGAGCTTTCTGAGTTGGCACAGAAAGAACATTATTTGTTGTGCTTTTTTGATGATGTTTTTGATGTTAGGCGTCCATTTTAAGTCTTGAGATATGATAGAACCTAGAAACTTGAAAGACTCTACTGTTGATATTGTTTTTTTCCTGTAGATATGGCGGGAACTACAACCATTTCTATGGTTTTGAGTGTATTTAGTTCAAGATTGTTCTGGTTAGTTGTTCATCCTCCCATCTGTATGGAGAGTCATTGTTGTCTTGAATGAGACCAATCCCTGTTGTATCATCTGCAAATTTCAGTACAGCTATATGAGAAAGCTAGATTCTGCTATCCTCTCTCCTTCACTTTTCCTCCAACCAGGCCAAAAGCAGCTTCCTGAACCACATTGTACTCGGTTACAGCTAACCAAGGAACCTCCGTGGAACAGGAAGCTAGACAAACTATCGTAGTGGTTAATCTCCTTGCGTTTGTGCCTAGACTCACGTTTCTGGCTTTGTAATTTACATTTCACTCATACGTTTTGTCCTTTGAAAACAAAGCTTTTGCTTACCATTTTGTCTTTTCCCCCCTCGTTTCAGGATTCTGGCAAAGATGGGGATGACAATTCAACTCAGGAAGATGAGGGCTTTATGGGAATGCTGCCTCTCCTCCAAGCCCACCATGCAATGGAGAGAATGGAAGAATTTGTATGCAAGGTAAGATGTTGCAAAGCCAAGGGAGGGGCATCATGCACTGGTGAGCTTTTACAGAGTTTGTGGGTCCCCGTGGCTAGCAGTGCATGCCCTCCTGGCAACAAAGAGGCAAGGCACGCAGTGGGTGGCCATCCACAAACCGCCGTCACCTCTGTGGTTACTTCGGTTTCGGTGGGTGTATCTTCAGATCTCATGCCTCCCATAATTGGATAAATTAGAAAGCTTAATATGAGGTGGATTACAAGTGGAAATGCGGGATTAAACATGTGGTACCACTGTCGAATCTCCTTTTAGAAACATCTGCAGAAGTCCAAGCAGAATAATGCTCTGTGCTTCCCATGTTTCTGGGTCACAGGACTTTCATTTACAAGGTCACATTTCTCCCCCTCTCCCCCTTTCCTTTAGAAATCCTTGCAAATCTTTTCGAATTACCATATGCCTCTTTTGTATTGGAATCTCATTGTCTCCACAGTACAAAAAAAAATAAAGTCCAAATTCTATTGAATCGCTATCTTGGGCAAAGCTATTGTATCATTCTGGGAGCATTGCTTGTCTATTTAAAAGGGGACAGGTCATACTAGGTAGCAGCCTAAATACAATGCGGCTATTAATTTGAGAAATAAGACAATAGAAGAATGTTGTCCTTCTTTTGCAACTTCTGTATCTGCGTCAGTGGAACGAGAGATTTAGCAACCTAGTTATCTAACACACATTGTATTAAAATATAATCCCATTGTAGAAATGTAGCAGAGGAATCTGCTTCTTATTTTTTATCCTGTATCGGAACTGTTTCAAACATTATAGTATATTTGATTCCTGTTTGGGAGGATCGACTTTTGGGTTTATTGAATAAACGGGATGTATTAGGTTAGGAGGGATCCAAACTTGGGAACTTTAAGATTTGTGGACTTCAACTCCCAGAAGAAATTCTGGGAGTTGAAATCCACAAGTCTTAAAGTTCCCAAGTTTGGACACCCTTGTATTAGATTGTCATTGCTTTCATGCATTATGTGTACCTCAGGTGAACTATGATAGAGATTTGTAACCCAGAGAGATATCTGCATGGATCTATACATGCTTATTTCTTCATTCCTGTTTTTAATCATCTACCAGATGGCTATTGTGAAAGAACATTTTCTTATGGGAAAGGATTTCACACTAAGCTAATATCCTAGCCATTGTTGCAGCATATGCCTTATGCATCGGTTCAAGAAATAATACATATTTTCAAAATTTGCATATCATCCACCCACTGCGTGCTCTTGAGCAATTTTAGAAGATGGAAGCATGTGGAGTAGTAGGGCTCGGTTTTGAGGGTAGCAATAGCAGTCGCCCTTAAGATTTATATACCGTTTTACAGTTCCTTCCAGCCCTCTCTAAGTGGTTTACAGAGTCAGCCTTTTGCCCCCAACAATCTGGGTCCTCATTTTACCCACCTCGGAAGAATGGAAGACCAAGTCAACCTCGAGCCGGTGAGATTCGAACTGCCAAATTCCAGGCAGTCGGCAGAAGTAGCCTGCAGTGCTGCACTCTAACCACTGCGCCACCGGGGCTCATAGTAGTTGTCTTCTTTTCGATATAGCTCAACTAGTGAGGAATCCTAATCATCCCGTTTTCTAATTCCACATAGAAAATCAAATGCACATATATAAATGCAACATATATGTCAATTTCCTGTAGCTCTGTGCCATCACACCATGATCCAGAGTGTAACTTCATATTACTTCCTTCAGGTATGGGAGGGCCGATGGCGTGTCATTCCCTTCGACGTCTTGCCTGATTGGTTAAAAGACAACGACTACCTGTTGCATGGGCACCGGCCACCCATGCCTTCTTTCCGGGCTTGCTTTAAAAGCATTTTCAGAATACACACAGAGACAGGCAACATCTGGACGCATCTACTAGGTATGGAAACATTGAAACTTTTCTTACAGTTCCTATTGGAATAGGAATGAAAGGAATGGAATGTGCCACTCCGGTAATTCTATTCAAACATATAGTTTTGATCCAGCAGTAATTTTTGTTGACTTCTTCGATCCTAGGTAGAGGCAGATATTTCTCTCTCTGGGCACACTGAGAATATATCTGCTGAAACAAACTCCGCATTGGCAACAAGAAAGGCATCTGGCCAGTAAACACTCAGCTTCATTCAGTTGCCCAGACTCCCCTGCCCCCACCGCCCGCAAGGGATTACGGGGTTGTTAAAAGAGAATGGTTAATTTTTGTTGACTTGAACCTGATATTCTGATACAGCTCAGCTAGCAAGTTGTAATATGCTCTTCTGCCCAGCTGTGGCTGGTAACAATTTGCAGATTGCTGTTGACCTGCCTGATTGCCACTGTTGATCTGCTAGATCAGGTGGCACGCAGAGCCCTCTCTGCGGGCACACGAGCTGTCGCCCTCACTCAGCTCTTCCATGTGTGCACATGTACCTCTTGCCGGCCAGCTAGCCCATTTTTGCTCCCAGGAAGGGGCAGGGAGGCCTAGTAGGCCCAAAATGGAACATGGGGGGGGGGGGCGGTTAATGCGCCCCCATGGCCCATTTTTTCTTCCAGGAGGCTGCAGAGAGGCCTACTAGGCACAAAACGGAGGGTAGGGGGGAACCCGGGTGTGTGTGTGCATGCACATGC